TTAATGTCATATCTGATGGCTTAAAGAGCAACATGGATAAAAATAGAAAAATTATTTTTAGTTATAAATAGTATCATCCTGATATTTAATTGTACTGATCTATATTTTCTATACTGACATTATCAACTAATAAAAAAAAAAAAAAAAAAAAAAAAAAAAAAATTAATATAATAAATACCTTATTTAATTTAGCAGACTTATTTTTATTGTTCGAAGTTTCTTGTAAATCATTTATGTTAGAAGTTATTGATAGTGTAGATTTCTAAATAACAGTATAAAATATAGATAATGCTAAAGAAAAACCTAAAAAATTTTAGGTTTTTCTTTGGCATTATCTATATATTATAGATAATTTAATAAGTACAAATAGCAATAGTTTAAAAATTCAAATATTTTATAAATATTATACTTGTAAAAAATCTTCAATGCTAATTTCTTGTATATCATTATTAACATTTTCTAATATTGATTTATTAATAGTTACTGATATTGATTTATTAACAGTTACTGATATTGATTTATTAACAGTTACTATAATTGTTTCAATAAAAGTTAATGGTATTGATTCAACAGAAGTTTCTTGTGATAATAATAGTTGTAGTTCCTAAATAAATAAATTAATATTAGCCTTAGTTATAGAAAATTATATAAAAAAAAAATAAGTAAATAAATAAATAAAATAATACTATATTGTTAGAAGGAAGCAATTCAACACTATTGATCAATAAAGAGATAGCTTCTTCTCATTGTTAATTAGAGAGTCTTGTATAAATTCTATAGGATAATTCACTTTTATATCTAGTTATAAATATTGTAATATTTATTAGAACACCTTTTTGAAAGAGAAAAGTAATTGGAGTAGACTGACCAGGATGATTTATAATATCATAGCCTTCAATATTAATTTCAACTATAGTACAAATAGTTTTCATTAAACTTCAATAGGTTTTATCATCTAAATGCAAATTAAGATACTAAGAATTTTTGGAAAGATCTAATAAAGTATTAATATATAATAAAAATTTTTTTTAATAAATTTTATAATACTTACTTTTAGCTTTCTTATAAATTTGTAAATAAATATATGAATACTTAGCACCTATTGGTCTTTTTGAAAAGTAAAGTTTAAAATCATGCACAGAATTATAATAACCTTCTGGATCTAGTAGAACTGATATTATAAGTACATTGGAGTTTCCATCTATACCACTTTGATTATTTTTTTAGAAATATTTAAAAAAATCAATACTTCTATTTGGTGTAAAAATAAATTAAGATATTGATAGCTTATAATGTTCACCTCCTCGTAGCTAGAATAATAAACAGCACTACATAAAGATTTGATAAAGTAGGCTTTAAGGAATATTATTAGTAATATTATTATACTAAAATATAAGTTTTAATTCATTATTATTTAAATGATCATAATGATATGATACTATTCTATTTTTTTTAAGTTGTTTTATCTTGCTATTAAGAGTATCCTATAACTATCCAAATTCTTTTTGATTTGCAATATTATAATTTTGATTTCTATTAGGATGTTTCAAAATATAAAGGCTTAGTAAGTTAATACAATTAACTAATGAAGATAGTGCATATTTTTTTTGAGTTTTAACTTGATGAATTCTTATAATAAATTCAATCATTTCTTGTTCTAATTGCTCTTTATCATCAATACTTTCAACACTATAATTATATCCAATATTATCACACTAATTTTCTAGAATTTTAACTCATTTAGCAGTTGTCTTATGAGTATTTTCTAGAATTGTATCTCTAATAATTTTGTCAATTTCAGTACTAGTTAGTTTAGAATATTTTTTCTTAACCACTTTTAGTATTTTTTTTTTTATTAAAAAAAAAGATCAATTAAATATATACAATACAATAATTTTTTTTTTATTTACAAATTTAAGCTTTTCTATTATATATATCATCTAATTTTAAGTGATTTATTGTTTGATCGCTATCATCTAATGGATAATACTATTATTGAATATTTTGTATTAATAACTAATATATATAGTTTGAAATTTGATTATGAGATAACTAGGCTCCTGCAGGGCCTAGTTATCTTACAATCAAATTCTGAACTATATACTCCTATTATTTGTTATATATAACAATTATATTATGATTATTCAGATTACGAAATAATTGTATTACCTGCTAAATAACTCTAGTTATTAGCTGTTTTGTATATAATAACTATATATTATCTCTTTAATTATTTGATCTGTAGTTGTTGTTAGAATATAAACTATTATAGTGACTAGATCAAGAGTTAGAGTAAGAATCATATTACAAATCTTTTTTTTGTTTATGATAATCCTTAATATAATATCCTTTAATTCTACAATAATAGCAAGTAGCATCTTGCTAGTTACTGTTATTAAATCTGTTTCTGTATATGTTATTTGAGTAGTAAATTGGTTTAGGAGTAGAAATAGTCTGTTTCTCAGCAAGATTAATGCTTAGCTTAGCAATTTGCTTAGTGAGTTGTTTAATAGCTTTATCTGTACTAGAATTTATATTAGAGGCTATAAGCTTTCCAGTTTCCTATTATTATATTGCAGTTATTACTGCTATAAGGTTTGCTAGTTCTGAAACTTGAACATTTACTGAATATTCTGATCAAAGTTCTTGAATGAAGAGTTGAGTTAAGAAAGTAGCAGAGAAATTATTTTCTGGATCTACTTATTCTTTTAACTATTTAAATTTGTTGATATAGATATTAACTATATTTAAGCCTTGTTGTATAGCAAAGAGTTGTTTCTGCTACATAGCTCTTTGTTGAGTAATACAAAATCTTTCTCTAAACAGATAGTAGAAACTATAGATATTTTGTTCATTAACTACTTGTCTATACTGTTGATGTTTAAAGTAGTTAGAGGTATTAACTAGACTTTGGAACTATTCTTAAGAATTATTAGTAAGATAGGCAGATGCAAGTTCAAGTTGTTATGTAGTATTCTATCTGTTAGCCTTGGCTGCCTGTTTAAAACTTTCTAATTAGATTATAGGGTCTGAGTTCTATTACCTTGAAAAAATTTAATTTTAAACAGAGTCTTTTCACTACTAGTACCTAGTGCTCTAGCTAATTCAGTTATAGCTATAGTAGCATCTTGTAAAGCTCATTCAGCCATATCTTCTTCTGATTTATTTGTTTGGATAGTTTCATAATCTGAGTCTTCTAAATTTTCTATTTCTTGATTATTGTTTTCTACTTCAAAGAAATTATCAAGATTATAGTCTTCTTAATTATCTTGATTATTTAAGAGAAGGTTGTTAATTTCTAGATCATCTAAAATTTGGATTATATTGTCAAAAAGTTGATTAGGTTGGTTTGGAATTTGAATAGGTTGATAAGAAAGAGGAGAGTCTAGAGGGGTATAGTAGAAGGATGAAATATTATTGAGGTCTAAGTTAGCCTGAGAATAATTTCCTGGAATTAGAAAGTTTCTATTTTGTGAGTTAGTAGTAGAGATAAACTGATAAATAAAATTAGTTATTGCAGTTCAAGAGTTGATATTAAGATTGAAGTATTATTGATTAGAAGTATTAATAGAAGGAGTAGAGAAAATTCGAGGACTAGATGTTTGTATAGGAGATTCAAGAGAAATATCAGTTAAAGGTGGAGTAGAAATTTATTGTCTATCTTGTGAAAGAAATTGGATATGAGTAGTATTTTCATTATAATGAGTTAAGGAGATAAAAGTCTTGGTTGCAGAAATTGTAGCTTGTTCTGAATCTGTTAAGTGTTAACTCATAATAGGGCTATATTCAAAGTGATTAAGACTACTAGTATATTTGTCTAGAATAGATAAACTAAGATCTTTTAAAACTTCTTCTGGAGTTCTATTTAAATAAGAGTTGAGGGTAGAGGCACTAGTTTGAAATTCAATATAAAGATCAAAAGCTGTAGCTTCAAAGCCAAAAGGGAGATGAGATTGTAGAGTATATTAGATGTATTTAATTAAAAGAGCTTCAATAATATTTTTAGAATTTTCTATAGAGGTATCATATCAGTAATTAAATAAAATATTATATGCTGCTGCTCTAGCTTTAGAATAGGTAGAACTATTAGTTAATTCTATATGTGCAGCTATAGTTTGTTGAGAATAAAATTAGATATAGTATTCTTATTTATACTAATTCCAAAATTTGCAGTATGATCGATGAAGGTTTGTTCCTGGATAGCACAGCTGACAGAATAAATCTGAGTCTAAGGTTTGAAATACTATATATGCCTAACTTGTATTCTAATATCGTAAATTATATGTTTATATTCTTTTTATATATATCTGATATGCTCTGTTCATATATGTTAGGTAATAAGATACCTTACTCCTACACTTTGGGTCATAGGGTATCTGAGACTATAGATTAGAGTTTGAGATTATTTATGCTTACTCATTTGGCTTGTGAATAATCTACACTTAACTTTTCTATTTTAAGGTTGCAATAAGCTACTAACTATTAGAATCCTTATATCTATGCTTTGACTCATAGAGTATTTGTCTTTCAGATATTTTTATTTCTGGAGTCACAATAAGCTACTAGCTTTAATTAGAGTCCTTATACTTACAAGTTTAGCTTGTGAGGTATTTATCCTTCAGATGTTCTTAACTTGGAATTACAGTAAGCTGCTAGCTTTAATTAGAGTCCTTACATCTACAAGTTTGGCTTATAGAATACTCATCCTTTAGATATTCCTAACCTAGAGGTCGTAATAAGCTGCTAGCTTTAAAGTAGGTATAAATAAATATAGTCTAAGCTAAATTCAACTTTGAAAAGTTCGTATAATGTAAAATAGATCTTCCTCAGTCTGAGGCAATTTAAGGTAATTTTTCTCTTTTTGTGCTATGGTATGATATAAATCTATTCTAAAAGTCATGGATCTCTTTTTTGATATTTATATAATATAGATCAAATATGATATAAATTAGAATCAGCAAAAGATGAAAGAGTAGCTTTTTGGTTTCTAAAAGAGGCTTCTTTAGAGATCGTTAAAGAGGAAAAAAGGGGTTTTTTTAACTTTAAGAAAGGTTTCTTTAAGACTTTTTAAAGTTTCTTTAATTAATTATCCTTCTGAGAGTATTTCTTTGTTATTTCTACTAGAAAGCACTAAAATATTACAAGTGTTAGCCTTCTTATTACAACACAAGTAATATAAGACACGGAAAAGAGGCTCTCAACAGTGTTTAAGTAAAATATTACTTCACTATAGTAGTTCATTATAAAGTTAATAAAAGAGCAAAGATTATATTTTATTTAGAATACAATATTAATAATATAAGACTATCTATTAGTTTCTATACTAAGAGATTTCTAATATTAAGGAGATTGTAGAGGACAAATCTCATTTGAGATAAAGAGAAAAAAGAGAGTTTATATAGCTTTTTACAACTAGTAATAAAAATAGTAAGAACAGTAAAAACAGTAAGAATGATAAGAATAGTAAGAACAGTAAGAACAATAAAAGTGGTAAGAATAGTAAGAATGGTAAGAACAGTAAGATAATTATAGTTGTTCCTAAGACAACTCTAAAACTAAGAGTTCTACAATTATGAATTATAGCTTGTTTAAAAGGTTTCTTTGAGCTAGATCTAATAGTATAAAATAAATCTCTCTGTAACTACTAAGCTATTTGTAAAAGTGATAATAATAAATAAAGTATATTCAAGAAATTAACTATTTATAATAAAAATACTAATAATAAAATAATAAGATAAAATAATTAAGATCTGGTGATTTTAGTGTAGTGGTTAGGTTACCAGACTGCTATGCAAAAGGTTTCAGATTTAAATCCTACTGTTGATGAATTTGAATAATTACTCAGACCTTTATACCTAACTTACGGTAAACTCTACTTGTTTCTAGGGTTATAACCCTGTAAATCACATTGCACTAATGTTAATCGAATATT